GCGAAAATCGGTTAAGATACGAGTACATATTTATATGTACAAGTATACTGACTGCTGCATTTTCAGCCGAATCGGTGTGAGATTATGCAGAAAAGGATAGTAGGTTATCGAACGTAGCACTTAGCATAATAGATTGGTTTAAGAACGGAATTCTGGTTGTATCGACCTCTAGTTTCAGTAGGAGCCTTACGTCCTTCGCCGAAACGGTATAGAAGTGACAGTAGATTTGCCTGCCAAGGTCAGTTTACCCTAGCCCAACACCCATCAATATTTTCTCTTGACGATTGCGGAAGTTTGAAGAAGTATATGTTAAAGAGAATGCAATGCGTTGAGACACCTTCCGCTTTATTTCTCTCGCTTTAGATGTTTTTTCTATAATTATAATTGCCATCCATGGTGTCTCATCGTAAGCTCAAACAAATCAAGTCACCCTAAAACTGATCTTCTTTATATGTGTACATATATAGTACATGCATACAGAATTAATTCTCTGGTCTAAAATATTTAAAATTTCTACGCAAACAACAAAACTTCATATAAAAATTTAGGAGTGCCGTTAATTTCTTCATGATCTAAAGATCGGGACCACCCTTGAGTTACCACAAGTTATTCGGTAACAAACATAAAAAAGTATTCCAATGAATTGGTAGTCCCTTACTATTTTAGAATATTGAATTTTTTTCCTTGTGGTATTAAAAACATTTCTATACACACCGCTAGTAAAATCTAACAAACTTTGCCTCGCTTAATCTTATAGATTTCACATTAATCTGGCTACGGCAAAATCGGTGATTAATCCAAATGCAGACATCGGTTTACGTTTTTCCTGCTTCTTTCGAAAGGATCTAATTGTGCGTAATGCACGGATCAATGGCATATGGGGTGAGGAGGAGATACATGATATCGAAGGTCATTCACTGCAAAATCCCATTGAGATGGGAGAGTTTTTTGTAATTTATATACTCGCATGTGAAGAGAAGTTTCACATATCAATCAACAATCGCCCATTCTGTACATTCAAATATCGCTTACCACTAAAATCACTGCGCACGATAGAGATATGCGAACAAATACAGGTGATCAAACAAATGGATCATCGCGCTGTATTCCCATA